CCCCAAAACCCCAAAACCCCAAAACCCCAAAACCCCAAAACCCCAAAACCCCTTTGAATTTTATGATAGCTGAATAAATTTATAGTTTATTCTGCTTTACATGTTGGGCTGTATTTTAAGGTTTTAAAAGCAGAGTGTCATCTGATCCACAACTTGGAGCCTTTCATTTATACTAAATTTAAGAAAATTAGCTATATCTCTCTTTAAGAGATGAGCTTAGATCTAAATCTAAATCTAAAAACAATTAACAAAGCTTTCTGAGCTAGAAAATCTCATAAATTCACTTAAAATCCTCTCCGTTAACCAACTCCAAGCCTCTTTACTCTGCTTCATCACTCCCATTGCACTATCTACCATCAATATTGACTCTAAAATAGCTTTCAAGTCTCTCTTATATTTTCCTAATACAAATAGCATATACATTTTTATTGCCTAAAATAGTAATTAAGGCTACACCTTATCAGTAGCAGACTCCTTTCCTTAAGCTCTGCTCTCCGGAGCATACAATACTTCAAATGTCTTTATTATTTTCCTCTAAAAATATTTGGAACCTATCTTCAGCATCACCTCCAGTCAAAAATTTAGGATTAATTCCTACAAGAGAAAGAAAACAAGAATTAGGATTATAAATGGCTGATGAAAATAGCAGCTGACTCCCTTTGGGATTTTAATCTACCTAAAATTTAAGACCTAAATTTCTGTCGGTTCCTAAGGGTTGAATCCCAAAATAGTCCTTTCAACTAAACCTTATTAGATTTCTCTTTTAAGCAGAATGTTAATGGATCTATGAAATAGGAAAACTTGATTTCCGCGGTTGTTTTATACATGAATCCTAAAAAATATTTCTAATTTTCCTCTTAATTAATTCTTAGGTTTTACTTTATCCCTACATTAACACCCTTCTGTTCTTAATGCCTCACAGATTGGTTGTTCCCTGACCCTTGAGTATCTGGGACCATCCTAAGCCCCTTAGCTCTTAGAGTTGGCTTATTTGAAACTCTTCTGGTTCAGGCAAGAGGCTAGAATTAAGGGGTTTTAAGTACTTGGCTGTTTAGGTTGACTCATGAAATTTTTAAGGATTTTGAATGTCTTGTTTCGCTTGGGGTTTACTAGATTTGAAAGAGTGGGTTGGGGAAGTGGGGGTTTAGGAGGGCTTTTTGTGAGGAAATTGTGAAGGGATGGATTTTTAGCTTTGGTTTTAGTGTTGTGTCGTTCTATTGAAGGTTTAGGTGATGTTTTGATGAAGAAAATGCAAATTTGGTGTGGTTTGGGATGCAAGATTTTGATGGAAAAGGATTTAAATATACACTTAAAGATCATACTTTCCGAGACACCTTCGATTAATTATCTCTAAATCCTGATTATAATACAGCTCTTCATAATCTAAATTTTGTATATTTTTCTTTAATTCTTCTCCAACCACAACAAAGAAATCTAAATTCTATTGAATGGTATAGAACCAAAGCCTGCATTGACTAATCAATAACTAATATAATTAACCAAATGCTAGAATGGGTGTCCAATGTGACTATTTCAGCTCAATTATAGAAAGCAGGCTTATTTTTCTTAATCAGCACTCAAACCACATATTATTGGCACTCTCAAAGCTACTAAGTCTAATAAACCACTTAAATTTAGCTATTTCTTCTCCTGTTCTGGTTCTCATCATATCGGACAAAGAGTTTTCTGGTTTAAATACGATAGCTAACATTTAAAGGGTTTAAAACAAAGTAAAGGTCTTTCTTTAGGTAGGAAATAAAACATCTTCAAAACTCTATAATTCAGGTATGACTCATTGGTGTAGTTATATGATCAACTTACTTAGCTTAGGTCGTTGGTGAAAAATCCTTCCAGGTAAAGTCTGGACGTGAAAACTTTCTGACAGGATCATTTGTCACAATATTTATTTGTGAAGCATAACATCCTTCTTTCTGATTTCAAGCGTTTGGTGGAAGGTTCAAAACAGGCTCTCTTCTTTTAGTGTCACTTGATGTTACTATGCTGAAGTTAATCTTTTCCCTAATTTTGTCTATTTTCTGATACTTTTTCCTTTTCTTAATCGAAAATTGAATTTCTGGGTCAAAAAGAGCTGATTCGATGGAAGATTTAGCCTCATTCTATATATTTACTTGTTTATATACCTGATAAAAGCTTGAATTAAAGTTTTCTTCATTAGTCTGCAGCTTCTGGTTTTTAAAAATATCTAGAGATTCAAGTAAACACCTACTTGAGAACCTGTTTTCTAGGCTTTTCTCTCTTAAAACATACTCTTTTCTTAAGATTATTTCCAGCCTGGCTCTTATTTAAGCGATGTGAGGTCTGGATTATCTCTAAAGATAAGTCTACTTCCTACTTAGTCAAAGATCTGTGAAGTTTCCTCATAACTTTTAGGCTATGCTCTGATTTCTTTCTGCTATCTCTCGGGTCCTTCTCATGGTCAATACCTGGCTTGACCGCCATGAACTCTCCTGCAGCAGAGAGCACTGCTTTTGGTGAAAGATTATTTATTCAGCATCGGGAAATATCATATGTTCTATCAGTGTTATCTCTTGAAATAATTTTGTGTTACCTTTTTGCTACAGGAGATTAACAGATTAAGTAGATCAAAGCTTACCTGACTTTTCCAATCGAGAACTTTAAGATATTATATTGAGGATGCACATTTAAATTATTTTGCCAAAGATTCAGGAGTCTTTGAAATCGAAGCTTGCACTGAAGACATCCTGGTTAGCCTTGGGTTGTTCTTGGTAAGGGGTTGAATTACTTTAGGCCTTTCATTGATTCATCTGAGCGAAGAAAGATTTGACCTATAAAATACTTATATAATCACAAACTTGTAGCTTTGGCTCGAGCTTAAGACTAATTCCAAATCTCCGTTTGAATTCTGATTCTGAATAATCGGTTTTATTGTAGAAGGATGCTTTACTGGCTGCTGAGAAAAGTATTGTCTAATTCTACTATTCCTGAATCTGTCTAAATAACTCTATGATATCCAAAGCCCCCTAGGTATAATCTTGACTAATAATGTATGAAAATTACCTTGAAATGAAGCTAAAGATAGCTTGTGAGAACTCATCTTAGTTGTCTAAGTTCAATTATTATATTTAAAAATGGGGTTTTGGGGTTTTGGGGTTTTGGGGTTTTGGGG